AATTACAAGTTTGTGATTGGTGATAAAGAAATCAGCTCTGGATTTGTAACTTATATTTTATATCATCAAGGGTTAAATGTTAAAGATACTTGGATGAAAAATTATGAGAATACTCCGATATGGTAAAATTACGAAATTACCCTTATGTTGGAAAATGATAAGAATTGCCCCTGGAAGTTGGTTAATAACTCTGAAAAGACATATTGATCCGATATAACTACTGATGTGCATAAGAAATGTTAGTTTATTTGGAAATTATGGATAACCGGTTTTAATCCTATGAGAGTTTGTGAAGGAATCATTTCAAAATCAAAGAATGTTCGGGAAAGCAATTGATCATAGGATCTCTAAATTATAATTATTTTCGTTAAGTGCTAATATTGAAATTATTTGGTTAAGAATTACGAAAATGCCCTTGAGAGATAAAATAGTCTGAATTGACCCTGAATGAGAGAGTACTTTGAGGATTTGTACTTAACTCGATTAAGTACGAATTTAATTGTTAAGATCCTGTCTTTGTACAGAAAAATTTATATTCCGTTTGTAAAATCTGAGAAGACACTTGACCCGAAAATATTCGAATAAGGGGTAAATACTTGAAGAGTAATTTATTGGAGGTATTCTGCTGACAGAATTGTTCGAAAGGACTGAAGTAAATGATAAGATTGAATTAAATAATAAGACCGGATGGAAGGAAATGATTGAAATATTCTAGAATTATAAAATGACCAAATTACCCCTGGAATGGAAATAACTCTAGAATGTCACCAAGCTCAGGAATGAATGGATATACTCAAGCTTTGAAATGAATAGAAAAAAAATGTTAAGCACCAAAATGACCAAAATGCCCTTATGACCTAGAATAAGTAAATGTCTTGGATTAATTAAGAAATCCAAATAAACATGGATGTTGTGCTACCAGTAAAAGTTGTGAAACGCAACTTAAGTGATTAACCAACGTTAGTACTATATCATTACCTGAATGATATAAGTATCACTTGAATGTTTGTTCATCAGCTCAAATTTGGATCGATGATAATTCTGGAAGTACTTGGCGCAGCTCAACTCTAGAGCGCATACAGTACTAATAAGTGAGTAGTCGTTAGTCAAATCAACCACGAATACCAGAATGACTTTATTATATGAATAAATTGAAATGAAATGTAGTACAACGTGTATTTGAAATTCAGAAACGTCTGAATTATTCTGGAAAACTTTAAAGTAATCGAGATAGACTTGCTTACCAAACGAACTAAGTAACATCAATGAGTAAGGATTAAATAGGTGATTTGATGAGTTTGGAAACACTGTTGAACTTACATGATGAATTGTCATTATGGGTTATGAGCCATGGATCAAGTACGTCAGTATTTCCTGATATTGTTGAAACGTGGAAATGAAATAAAGACCGTTGGAAGATTTATTCAGTGATGATTATGGGGATGATCTATGGATCTGCACTATGGTATTAAAGAGTGAATACACTGGAAGGATAATGAATTGACTTGTTGACATGCATCAGTTTGAGACTTGTGTAACTCGAGTTGTTTGATAATATGATCGATAGTCGTAGATTGTAAATGACTTGAATCTTCGATTCTATATTTCATCTAAAATCACTTCGGTCATGTTTGAAAAAAAAAACAAGTAACGCAGATGGAAAAGATTCTGAATATCTCATTTGGTTCAATTGGGCTGAAATCCTATGAATTTAAAGTATATTCCTGAATACCCCTGATTGTTTGGGTAATGGAATCACTCGCAGTAAATCTGAATTTAGAATTATTATGTATAAAGGTTCCTGAACGTTTTCCTAAAGCACACGAAAATATAGTGGGATTCTAATGTATCAACATTAAATGTCTGGCTAGATCGGTTAGTAATCGATTCTCCTCAATAGGACCTTGTTCCAGGAATTCGATCAAATTTCATAAGTTTCATGTTATCCAAAATGATAACTACAATGGCCTCTGGAAATACTGGGATTCTCTAGTGTTCCCTACTTATTATTGAACTATTTTATTGGTTTTAATACGTGGTACACCGAATTCATTGGTTATTGTTTATGGATGCACCAATTTAATGTGACAATTTATGGAATATGGCTGCTATCTAATTTTTGTTTTGAAATGGTATATGATTACCATGTTTTTGGATTTATGGAATTTATGTCACGGTGCAATTGAATTTTGGAATTGAATTACGATGGAATAGCTCTGATCAAGCTAACTGGGCCTAATGTGACTCTTGAGGGCCCCAAGATGTTTCATTAGGTCGGCTTTCCTTTGCTGTGTGCTTAGGGTAAGCTATATGGACTTATTGACTTGGGCTTAAGGATACAAGCTTCAGAGCCTATCCTTAAGTCGGCTTTCTTTTTGCTATGTGCATAAAGTAAGCTATATGGAAAATAATTTTGGCAACTACTGATGGTGTACCAGAAAAGGGTTTAAACTATGATTTTCAAAAGTTAAACTCTTTTACGAAATTGTGATATTTACTGGACTATGATTTGTACCTATTATGATTTTATTATACTGTTGGAACACACTAGACATCCTATTCGATCTCCTGAAAATGTCATACTTTGAAAGGTTTCTTATGAACTGAGATTCATGGCTTCTACTCGATGAACTTCTAAGGGAACCCCAAATTATTCTACAAGCTGGTATACATATGATTCAATAAGGAAATTATATGGCTTTCTATTTATCTACATGTCATGTAGCATCATCTGGTAGTTCTGTATTACTGAGCTTTCCAAAGCTCACTCTATTACTCACCTTTTCAGGTTAAAACAATTGTACCAGTGCATCTATCGACTTCAGTAAGGGAGTTCTTCCGGCGTGGTTGCAGAGTATGGTATTTGTGATTAGGGGGCATGTAATTGTATTTTGATTTATATACAAGTTTGGAAATCTGTTTTATTTTTAAATAGTGATAAATGATTTTATAAGTTTACATGTTCTGATAAAAAGTTTTAAAATTTCCGTTATTTTTACGGTGGGTCACTCCGGTGACCCTAATGTGACTTCCCGAATCGGATCGGGCTACCCGCATCGGTTTTGGGGTGTTACATATACTATATTACTTACTAACCTATTCTATTGTTTTCCCCCTATTACAATCACTGATTTAATATTTTTAACAAAAATATTATTAAATTTATCTTTTTCTATTTTGATAACCTATATTCAAATATTTGATAGTAGTATGATGTAAATCTTTTTATTTTCCAAGTGATTTTCTCTCCCATAATTAACATTGATATATATTTTTTAATAAATTTATTATAGAGAAGAACATGCCAACATAATCATCGATTACCTTACAGAGACATAGTTGGGGGAGCGGAAGGAATCTAACACGGATGAAATGGATGCAGGCCATTTGGTCTTACACCAGAACCCTACAAGCAAAAGCACCAAGTCGAAAACGCGATCAACAATAAACGTTTTATTATTAAACATAGCATCGTTCCTGCAGAGCCAAATAGTCCAACAAAAACCCCAAAAACACCATTCTCCACACAGGTTTTGCATCGGCACGAATCGGTTGATTTTCCCAAGATAATACGAACTCACGAATACTGCCCGGACAAATAAAAGAAATGTTCCACAGCCGGCAAAATCTTTGCCATATGCTCCAAACCACCCTGCAATGACAAAAAAGATGAACAACCGATTCCAAATCACCCTGCAATGACAAAAAAAGATGAACAACCGATTCCAAATCACCCCCACAACAGACACAAAGATTAGGTGCCACGATATTAACGCCTCTTTTCGCAAGTTCATCTAGAGTCGGAATCCTCTGGTGAGCAATTCTCATAAAACGCCTCCACTTTAGGCGGAGCTAGCTTAGCCCAAACTTTCTTCGACACCGAATCTGCCTCCACCCCGTTGGAAGCCAAAATGTCAATGAATCCTTTCGGAAAATACTCACCGCTTGGGGTGCCAACCCAGATCAACCGATCTACAGTAGACAAATCCCTCCTTGGACAATTTATCAATCTCCAATACTCATCCCAAATAACAACTTCCCCCTCAAACAAAACTCTACGAATCTGAATATTCCAGACCCATGTTCCCTTAGAAATGAAACCAAACTCTGCCACCTTACCTTCTTTTTTGATTGCCACACTGAAGATTCTAGAAAATGCCACCCTTAACGAAGGTACTTCGGTCCAGTGATCATTCCAAAAATATATAAGAAGGAAGACACATCTTCCCTATCGGCAATGGCACTGCACGATACCAATTATTAGGCAATGCATTTTCTGGGAGTGTAATTATTAAGATAATGATTATAGATTCTTATAATTACGATGATTTTTTGAAATTCTAACTACATTTCCGATTCTTCACATTTTCAACCACAAGTAAAAATGTAATTATATTTGATTCAATGATAACATTAATTAAAATAATTATTTAAATATGTCTGCTTATATAATAACATCTAAAATCTTTTTTGAATAAAACGAGAGAAAAAACAAAAACAAAAAACAAAACGCTAGCTCTCGGCTAAACCACTGCTATGAACGTCACCGTGCAACGCAACCTCAATCTTAACACGCAATCATTGAAAAGTATGAATATCAAAGGAAGATTTCATGTCATTTTAGCCATCTCAAATTTACCTAAATTTAGTTGTAAATAAGTTTTTAAACACATATTTATTATATATATAGTTGACAGTTGCATCCAAATTTAAGTAACAGGATTCTAAGATTTAAAGTTACAGTATTCGAATGTCACGTGTTGGAGTAATTGTGTTGGTATGGCCCATGACTCGGGTGTTATTAATTATATCAAAGATTTAAACATATTTTCGTGTAGGTTTATTTTGATAATGGTTATGGAAACGTACTTTAAATGAGCGCAGGCATCCACTCGAACCCACAAAGCCCAAAAAACACGTCCTTTCGGTTTACTGTACACTTCCCCCTATCCTCTCTTGCAAAGAGAGATGGCTAAAGCTCCGTCCTTTGCCCACTCCATCTTCTTCTTCACTGTTGTCCTATAAATGAAACCAACATCTTAAAAAAAAGGTATTATTTCGGTGGATGAAAATGGCTTTCAATTCTTCACTTCTTTTCGATTCTCTTTATTGTCCAGAAGAGAACCGGGGGCAAGAGGAAGAGGCTAAAGAAGATTACTTTGTTGAAGCAGACGACGAACTTTCTGGGAACCCTTTTCCAGTCTTGTTTGAACATGACTTGTTCTGGGAAGACGATGAACTTTCCTCTTTACGTTCAAAGGAAGAGCGGAATCAACTGTTTGATACCCAGCAAACAAATGGGAATCTCGCCGGACCTCGCTTCGAGGCCGTTGAATGGATGTTGAAAGTCAATGTTCATTATTCCTTCTCCGCTCTCACAGCCGTTCTCGCCGTTAATTATTTCGATAGATTCTTGTTTAGCTTCCGGTTCCAAAGCGACAAGCCATGGACGATTCAACTAGCTGCTGTTGCTTGTCTTTCTCTGGCAGCCAAAGTGGAAGAAACCCAAGTGCCTCTCCTACTGGACTTACAGGTCCGTTTGGTACTTTTTTATGTTTTTTTTCCCATTTGTTTCGGCTTACCGAAGTTGTGATTTTGTTGGTGTGTTTAGGTGGAGGAGAGCAAATATGTTTTCGAGGTCAAAACTATCCAAAGAATGGAGATTTTGGTACTCTCTACACTTCAATGGAAGATGAATCCTGTAACCCCAATTTCATTTCTTGATTACATTGCAAGGAGGCTTGGGTTAAAGGGTCATTGTTGCTGGGAATTTCTTCGGAGATGTGACCAAATTTTGCTCTCTGTTATTTCAGGTTAGCACCAAAAACAAAAGTCCTTTGTTTTTCTTTTACCGAGTCATGAATTTGATCTTAAATCGTGTTGAATTCATTGGCAGATTCCAGGTTTTTGTGCTTCCTCCCTTCTGTAATGGCCACTGCTATAATGCTGCATGTTATGGATATTGAACTAGAATTCCAAAACCAGCTCTTAGGCAAGCTGGGAATTGATAAGGTACTTACTGTCCATCTTAAATGGTGCAAATTTTGTCATGGGATTTAAAATCTCAATGTTTCAAACAGGACAAAGTGGATGAATCCTGTAAGTTGATAATGGAATTGGCAAGAGCAAGAGTTGAAGGCACCCGATCAAACAAGCGCAGGTTCAGCTCGATTCCGGGAAGCCCAAATGGTGTAATGGATTTGTTCTTTAATTCCGATGGATCGAACGATTCGTGGGCAGTTTCATCATCGACCCTGTCTTCTTCACCTGAGCTTGTGTCCAAGAAGATCAAGACTCAGCGAGAACAGTTCCTGGAAAGGCTCGGCCATGCTCCATCAGATTTTCTCAGCAATCCTCACTAATTTCCATCTTCAATTTCTCACTGTGTAATAATATTTCTGTTCTTTTGTTTTTTGTTTTTCCATTGAGATGCAAGTTAAATTGCTTCCCATCTCTGCTTTTTTTTTTTCCAACCAAAACATGATTTGAGACAAATTTCAGCTTGTGAAACTCAAATGTCTCTTTAGGGAGTGATTGGTTGGTGAGAAAATTACAAGTAGAGATGGCTTGCATTTTATCCGGAAGAAGTTAACCCAAAAAAGAAAAATGATATAGCAATCCAGACTTCAGATTCCTTCCATTACTGCTTTAGCCTTCTCGTATTATATTGAAACTTAAGAAATTGAAGTAAAAAAAGTTTAACCCGAATATAGTCTGTTTTTAATCCCTAAACTATAAAAAAAACTAAACAATATCACTTAACTTCAAACAAGTATAATTTTAAACGATAATATAATAACAAATTTAATCCCTCCATCTCCGTTTACTCCCTCTCACCCATCACCGCTGCCTCTACTAATAGTTGCACAAATCACAAACCATCATCATTGACGAGGATAGATTGAAAGAGAAGGAGGGCAGTCTACTCTTTAAAAGTTTTAAATTTTTATTATTTTAAATAATTTTATATTTTTAATTAAAAATTTATTTTTTTATTTTTTTAAATTTTATAAGTTCATTATTGCTTAACATTTTATAAATTCACCGCCTTTCATGATCACAAATTACATGCTCCGCCATTTCCACGTTCATCGGCTTTCAATTATCATCATGGGAGACGGAATTATGAAAAACCAGATGATAGAAAATTACAAGACAAGTGCACCAACGAAAAAAATATACTTTATAATTAAAAAATCATTTGTGTATTTTAAGTTTTACTGTTCTAAATGTTCCTGTCATGATTCTAACATTGTGATGATTGAAATACATACGGACTGTAGTGTTCATGTACATTCTGATGATTGAAATACATAATGAAGGTAGTGTTCATTTACATGTATACTATACTTTGGTATGTATTTGTCTGCATGCCGTTGAGGGAACATTTTGTCTTGTCGGCCACTGGCAGAGTTTGTGACTAATTTTGGGGGTTTTGACCTCATCGGAAGAGCTCATCTTTAGTTTGAATTTTTTTTAGTAACACAAGAAAATATACCTACACAAAAGTACAAACCTCCTCAGCGACGAAACTAGGGGCTGGTGAAGACCTTGGTCCCCAAAATGGTAAAATTGTTCTCAAATCCTTATAAAAACCATAAAATTATAAATTAATATATGACAAAAAGTGTGAATTCATGGCACCGATCTAGCAGCAGCAATTTTCAAATGGAAATGGTGGGAATTTCGGGATCTCGACTAAAGCATAACCTTTTCATATTTCAACTCCCTAATCTGAATGCAAACTCAGTGAGAGCTACCCTTTTTTGACAGTGAAATGCATCCCAAAAGATTAAACTGTAGTTTTCCCATTACTTTAAGATTTTCACCCACCCCAAGTCTGGGTGCAGGAAAAGACAGCAGCAACAACATCTTACATGTGCTACCGCTTTCTTTCTACCACTTCAAACTAAAGTTACATAATCTCAAACTTGACTTTCTCAAACTTATTATTGTACAATATTCATACCTCTCTAGATTTTCTTACTAAATTTCTTAATCTGCGCAAACTGACTTTCGATTTTGGTTGTTATGTCTGATCATATTTTCTTCTTTTCTTTTGGTAGTTAGCAGTGTAGGTTTAGATTCAATTTCAACGGCTTTGGGAAGAAAACAACACAATAATACAATATTGCTTACTGATCACTAAAAAGAAGAAAATTACTGCCATGCATCATCTCAGAGCTCAATGCATGCTTTTGACTTATTGAATATTAATGACTTTCCTTTTTGGTAGAATAATAAATGAAAATATTAAGACTTAAACTTAAATTTATTAAATAGAACAGACTTAAATTTTAACTAAAAGTTAAGTTAGATTTTGTTATAATTTTATTTGTCGAAGATTATTTGATGATTAAGTTTATTTAGTAAGAATTCTTATTGAATTAGGATTCTTTGTGACAAAATATTTGATTGTATAAGTAGAGAGTATGTCTTATCATTTAAAATTATGAGATTGAATTATTTTGGGGGCTTACGTTACAGAGATAGTTTTATAGGGATATTGGAAGAGTGATTTGAGATGCACCAAGTTTTGGTATAGATATCGGGTTTTGGAATACATAAAATATCATGTATCTGTACTTTTCTTGATTTCTATGTTTATAGTAGATTGTTATTCTTCAGACAAGGTTGAACCACATAAATCTTACTTTTAATACATGTCTTATTTTGTGTTGATTTTATTTCTCTGCACCTAAATTTTAGTATTATTTTGAAGGGTGTTTTCATGAATCAACTGAACAGTACATGTAATAGTTTAGAATGGGTATAAAACGAAGACCTAATTATTTCAATCCTCTAATGCAAATTGGGGGGGGGGGGGGCTCAAAACACTAATGTAGGCAAAAAGATAAGAAATGGTCACATTAAGCACACTGGCACCCGAACTTAAAGCCAAATCATTAATCATGCTAAAGCTGCTGTAGACAGCATTCTAAAACAATCAAACAAAGTTAATCAGTAACGAGGCAATGTCTGAAGATCTGAGAAAAATATTTATACAGCTACACGTATTTATGGGGTGAAGAATGGCAGGCCCACAGTTTCAGGGTTATAAATTCATCAAATCAGCTTAGATTTGAATGAGAGATGGGGAATGGAACACTCTATCAATACACATTCAATGCGTGACTGTTATAATTGTGGGATATGAAGCTCAGATTTTGGAATTTTTCGAAGCAAGATTATTGAAACAAAGATGATAATGGCAATGGGGCTCACCACAGGAAAATAGTATCCGATGAGGGTGTGGGGTGGGGGTCTCTGTGTTTTAGGGGTCGCCATCCTCAGGGAATGCCAAACTTATTACCCTCTGATGACTAATGCATTTAGGTCTTTTTGTGTATATTATTTAACCCATCTGCTGCTGCTGCTGCTGCTTGGAGGGGACAATAGCAAATATAGGGTGAGACAAATCTATATTATTTCAGGCCAAACCATTAGGTCAGCCCCCCTACATATGGTCCATTTGTGATAATCATTTCCATATGTAATGCTCCAAAATTCACCCACCACATGTTACCTACCTTCTCTTCTCTTGTATAAAAGATAAAATCTTACATAATACCAAATTTATCGATCGATTGTCTAATGAACGATTCTTCGAATATTCTTCAAAGTATTTGACATATATGAATATAGGTTGATCAATACATTCATATTAAGTAATGGGGGGAAAAGATCCAAAGAAAATCCAATGGGGGGTAGACTACTAGTGACTAGTGTTAGAAGGATTGTAAGTTTAGGGCATTGGGGTAAAATGGTCCTAACTCTAAAGGCTTCTTCTCCTTGTCCTTGTAGAGGGCGGTGAGTGTTATGAGATTTACCGTTATGGTTAAATATGAATGAGCTTTAGGACTCAAATGTCCCTTTACATTGTCAGAATGAAAGGGATATTGGTAGATTTTTAGGTCATTAAGGCATTTAGCCTCACTGTTTCCAAATAATTAAATATTGGTTCCAAAACCAACCAATCACCCTACTCACAAGGGCCTGTTTTGGCTAAACCTTGGCTCTCAGTAGGGATGAAAATAATTTGATTCTCAAAATTAATTTTAAAAAATCATGACTAATTGAATTTAAATAAAAATTATATATATAATTTACATATCAAATTATATAACATTGAATTAAAATTTATATAGACTTTTGAGATATAACTTTTATTAATAATGTTATAATCTGAAATTCAATTAAATAAAATTGTTAATTGAATGATTTTTATTTGGAAAAAATGCAAAAAGAAAAAAGTTGTGCAAGGTTTGTTGTTTAGCCGACTCCACTTAACTCTTAAATTTGGTTTATTAAAGCAGAAAACGCAAACATAACATTGAAGTAATTAAAATTAATTACATCATACATTATTAAATTATAATCTTCATCTTGAATTGATTTCTAAATTTTAAATATTCTAATTTTATCATCAAATTATGATTTTAAATTGCTCTTCAATTTTTTTTATAAATTTTAATTTCATTCCCAACCATTCGAACTTTTGAATGTTCTAATTTCATTATAGAACAACAATATATGCTAATCACGTTCTATGTTAATTAAATCGTTAAACATTTAATTATCTTGTAAACATTGATTTGTATTATGTTTATAATATGATGTGGTATAAACGATAATTAATGGTATATCACATCCCAAGACCTTTAGAGAGAACAATACTCTATTTAATCGCTGATGTCATTTGATGAGTTCAAGATCGTAGTTAATACTATGATTAAAGAATAATAATAATACCCGATCCCTGGCGTTTGAGATAATACTACTCGAACCTAATTGATCTAGTGGGATGAGGCACTAGATTCCTTAAGTATGTCAGGGGTTCGAACCCTGACGTTTGCAAATGGAGCAAACTTTGGGAGGGTCACCTTTGCCTCTCCAATATCCCATCTAAACTAGTTGATCAATAAATCGGATACTACTGATTATCCGATTAATTCAAAGTAAAAGAATAATAATACATTTTATTTATTATTATTGTAAAAAATCTTTAACTTTTTTAAACTAAAAAATAACATTATTGAGTTGAATACATACATCGATCACTATTTATTTATTGATTTAGTTTTTTTTTTCATTTAATATATTATTTTAATTAAACTTAAAAAATATGTAGTATTTAGAGTTTTCTATGTAATAAATTAATGAAATTAACAAAAAAAATGTAGAGAAATAGAAATAGAGAATAAAGGTGAATAAGTTGATAGTATATTAACAAAAACATATAATTTTAATTTTGATTGATATATTTGATCTCAACTAAATATATTTTTATGAAAAATAAAATTTGAGATAATGTTGGCATTGTGTAAACCTGTATTCATGCACCGTCTTTGCACTCAAGGAAAAAAGACATTTCCAGGAATCTCCTACTTTGTCCGAGAAACAAATGCATTCATAATTAAAAAAAAATAGCTTACTCTTATTCTCATATGTAATGGGGTAAAGGGGAGGTAGGATAGTAGGCTACCCCAACGCCAAGTTAAGAGCAACTTCCGTGGGAGACCTCCAAATTATGAAATGTCCTCCGTGGGACTCGATCCCACGACCTCAAGATTAAAAACCTTGCGCTCTACCAACTAAGCTGATGATCATTTCAAAATGCATTCATAATTCTTTTCTGTTAAATGTTTATTTATTTATTAATGAAAATATAATTAAAAAGATGGAAGAATATATTACACCTGCAAGGACCGCGTACCAGATGTAATCAGACGCGTCTCATGTTTCGTAAAACCGTGTGAAAGCAATATTATGGCTTCAACGTGACCATGCAAAAATCAATAAAATATTTTAATAAACCACACATTATTCCTTTAATTTTTTAAAAAATTTGGCTATTAAATTTTATATTCAAATTCATTAATAGTATAAATATTGTATATGTTGATATATTTATCATTAACGTATAAAGTCGAATTCAAAGAATACGTAACAATTCTTATAATAGAACTTATTGAGTGATCTCAATAATAAAAGATAAAATGTTGTTATTCCTAAAAAAATTGAATTTGAATAGCTGTGTTTACAAGATATACATACACGGTTAATTATCAAGAAAAATTATGAACAAATATTACTTTACAACATCGTTCAACTATTAAAAAAGCAAATCTAAATTCTCAAAGTAAAGTAAAACCTTGGCTTCGCAACCGATTTTGGGCACAAAGTAGTTTGAAATATAGTATTTAGTAATGGTTTGTAAAGGATATGGGGCTGAGTCAATCAATCCTGTTAAAGGTCCCACTTTCACAAAGCTCACCGTCCTCGTCAACCCCACTCCAATGCCTATATATATATATATATATATATATATAGCAACACTACCATTGCAATATTTCAACGACAGCCCAATTCAAAACAATCAGCAAATCCATTTTTGTGATACACAGAGTTCGGATATATCAGAAAAAAGAAAACGTATTCTTTTCGTTACCGAGAACAGCTCGACATCGATGAAGCGTATTATTTTCGTGATGGGCCTATTGGCATTGTTGGTTTCGACGGAGTTGGCGGTTGCTGTCGATGGACGAACGCTTCCATCGAAGACGGTGGCGGAGGGAGGATACGAAGAACAAAGGGAAACTAGTGTCTCATCATCAGCAGCAAGCAACACCAGCACTCGTAATTGGTTTAGAAGCTTGGGTTTTAGGTTAGCCTCCGGACCAAGCAGAAGAGGTCCTGGACATTAACATTGTTTAGAAGCTCGGCAGCCATATTTTCTGCTTCTGTCTAGGGTTCATTTTTTTCATTCCTTTTTAAAAACCTGATGTTAGTGAAATACTTTTTGATTATAATTTGGGATAATCTTTGTACGTTTTAATGATGAACTGAAAAAACAGAGACCGCATATTCATTCTTTAATCGTTTGCATTATAAGCTAGATTTGAGTTTATTTCAAGTTTTATGAATTATAAATATTTATTAATTTTCATTAAAAAACTAAAACTAATTAATAAATTTTGATTCAACTATAAAATCAATTATAATACCTTTATTTTTTCCATTAAATATCAATACATAGTATCTTTTTACAAATATTGGAAACGATATTGTTGATAATTGTGAGCCACAACCTTAAACATGAATAATATAAATAGACACGAATTGCTAATTTGTATAAATTTAAGAATTTAGTAAAGTGAATCGAATATTGTTTTTTACAATATTAAGAGAAGCATGATTTCAAACAAATTTTGTCAATAATATCATTAGTTTTATGCTATACATTGTGTTTAATACTCCTTATTTATTAATTTATAAATACATTTTCATAAATTAAAAAATAATGATCTATTTTATTGTAAACATTATCTTCTAATTAGGTTAATGTATTTTCGATTAAAAATTTATTTATTTTTAATATTCCTTTTAATATTTTAAATGAATTCGAAGTTAGATCGACTCTAGTAGGCTTCCAAGGTCGAGCTTTTTTGGTAGCTGTAGTTGTTATGTTGTGTGTGTGTATATATATATATATATAAGATTGTATCCCCGTTATGGATAAGTTTGTTTACGATTATGTAGGTGTCGGCATGTGTGTAAGTAAATCAAGATTTGTGAGGGCCAAAGTGTGAGCAAAATGAGGAATTTGGGGTTGGATAATGGAAGTGGTCAAATGGTGGGGAAAGTAGGGTTTCAAATATTACTACCCAAGGTGGATATATGTCCACTGCCATTATCCATTATTTTTCAACACATGCTCCTTAAACATCTCCTGGATCAACTAAATGTTTCCATCCATTGATCAACATGTACAAGATTTTCTCTGTGATTTACTATAATTTATCATATCATTTCAACTTCACATTGAGTACTTTGTGAACCAAGAATTTTCCCAATTCACAAAAGGATCAGACAAAACAAAGTCATTTTTTCCTCAAAAATTTAAATAAATTCCTTTAATTATTACTATTTCAAAGAGTTGCGTCGATTAAAGAGAAAATGTCCGAAAGCAACGGACAAGTTCACTTTCGCTGTGCCCCAAGCCTGTGGATTGGATGGCAAGACACGAGTAATTTAATCTTTCAACCGAATACTAAAGTACAAAAGTAAACTAACCGACCGGGGCAACTACAAACACGGTTGTCTTTGACTTTCATTTGTGCTTAATAAAATTCTCAATTTGCTGTTATTTTCAATAAATAACCAAGAAAATCGAAAATTAATTGAACATACAATACATTTGGAAAGACAATTCAGAAGTGGAAATCTAATATCGTGTTGAAATAGAGAGAAGAGTATTGAGAAACAATGGCTTGAGTTTTCCATTGATTAAGAGTGGATATATATACACAAGATGGGGCACATAGAAATAGGAAATTAGCCTAGAGTTAGGGGATTACAACTAATTACAAGGCACATAAATAGGAGATTAGCCTAGAGTTAGGGAATTACAACTAATCACAAGAATATTATAATTGATTACAATAATTTAAAATTTAAATAAAATTTGTTATAATTAATTCTCTAATATGCCCCTCAAGATGGAGTTGGAATCGGCTTCGTGGAAGCGGTTTGGTAAGAGCGTCGGCAAGTTGATAT